TGCAGAGATGCAGAGGGCTGCAATGTAGCGCACATGTTATCCTCCGTGACATGCCAGATGTTTTCACCGTTCCGCAAAATGCTGCGATAGTGTCCCCTGGAGGCAGCCTCACCTGTATGCAAAAGCGCCGCGCGTACCTGATATGGCTTCCACTGCACAGCAAGGTCTCGCGAAGAGGTGCACAGCGGAATTCGTACAGTTTCGCCCAAGTCATCCAATGCCTGGAAGTCTTTGAAGACTTGACCGCAGCTGTCATAGCGAAACCTCCGCAATTGAAGGATCAGCATGGGAGGCGCTGACGTAAGAGCAGTACGATAATGCTGAGAGTGCCACTCCTGAATGCAGTGTTGCAGCCCCCTAGCATCGACAGGCAGGTCGATGGTAATTGGTACGTCAGTGGAGGAAGAGTCGCATGTGGTCACTCCTGCAGCATCCAGGCGCCGCATGGCCCAAAACCCATAAAGACACCGAAGCCTAAGGCGAGGCAAGAGATAGAGGAGAAATTCGTGCACGTCATGCTGCTGAAACGGCTGGGCCCACTGCCCTATAAGAAACTTCCATCCCATCTGCTTATGGAGATCGAAAGATTGACGAACCTGGGCAAGCTGATGCATGCCTGTAAGTCCACCGTAGTGCGCAGGAGCGCCTGGTGTGGAATACGGTATGGACCAGAGAAGGGCCAGTAATGTAGCATTCATGTAACAGGCGGTGCCACTGGGATTAGACAGGGCAAGACGAAGTACACAGTGCATGGGCAAAGACGAGGAGACGGCAGTCGGAGTACTGAGGCCCAGACCAACGTCAGAGTTGACAGCCAGTGCATGTTCGTCTACCAGATCGCCTCTTGAATCTGAGACGCGAGTCCTGAGAGACCCGGTCGGTCGCGACGCAGTCTGGCTCCTAAAGGATGAAGCGCCGAGTTGTTGATGAGCCGCAGCAACAGGCGCCACATGGTCCCTCCATCCTCGCGAAGTCCAAGCTCGAGCACGAAGTGCACCCACTCCGTCGTGGGGTTCTCGACTAGCGTCCGGATGGACGCAAACCGCCTCACAGAGTCCGGGTCGATCAGACGAGAGAGTTCCTGTAGTGTCGCCTGCAGCTCCGAGGGCGGGAGAGGCTTCGTCTGATCGTCCAGCTCGAGGGTTCGCAGCTGTGGATTCCACTTCATGTACGACCACGAGCCGTCCACAATCCACTTGAGCGCCGTGGCATTCTTGAGGGACTGCTCCTTCTCCAAGATCAACCTGGCTCTGGTGGCCATCTCCTGCAGGACAGCCTTCATCAGAACCACCCGGAGCGGGCTCGTAATCTTGGTAGGATCCTCCTGACGAAGCCGGCTCCACTCGGTGGCTATGCCGTAAAGATTCGGGAGGAACGACTGTGCCCCGCCCCTCATGTAAAAGCGAAGACGGGTGTCCATCTGAAGATTCTGAAGACTCAGCTCGTGACGGACAAGCAGTGTCGCAACCTTTCGGAGTAAGCCATCCTCGTAGTGTCCCTGATCCCACTTGGCATTGTAGCCGGGATGACCACGACTCTGGTGTTTGCCCTTGCCCTTGCCCTTGCCTTTGGTCCTCTGATCGTTCGGCTGGCCCGAGAGCGATGCTGTCGTCAGGGAGGCCGTGGGCGCAGCCGAGGCTTGGGTAGCCTCCGTTGAGGTAAAGAAAAGCTCCTCGTCCTCCCCGTCGGTGGCACTGCGACGTCTCTTGGTCATGAGGGAACCTCCCGGCACGCCCGAGGTGGGTGTCATGAAGTTCGTGAACAGCTGCAACTCCCGATTGTCCATTGCAGTCACCATCAGGATGCTTGGATAGCGGCTTCGGCACACTATTGGCTCCTAGCAGAGTATCAAGGAAAGTGAGCATGACAATCACGGAGCATTGCTTCCAGTGATGTTGTTTATCGAACTTCTCCAGACCACAGTAGGCACAAGGCTTTTTAACAGATCGCCTAAGAACTTGAGCCTTAGCCAGGGCATGTGGAAGCAAATTCCGCCATTCTTCATGAGCCTGATGCATGTGGACCTTTAAGCCCGAGGGCGTGGCAGCCCATTGACCACAGAGCGGGCAGAAGTGTTGAAGACGAGGACGAAGATCCATCCGCAGTAGGAAGTGCTGCCAGCCACGAGTCTTTAGCTCCGTGCAAAAGGCTGCACACTGCATAAGAGGGAGGTCAAGCTGAGGAGCCGACGATTGAACAGGGGGATCAGGTTCCACCGCACTGACAGGAGCAGAGCAGGGCAGTGTTGGGGGAACGGCGGAGACAGCCTCACCAGGACAGGAGTCCAGGTGAGGAGCAGGCGTGACATCCACGGCAGGGCTGTGGACCGTAGCAGGGCCATCAGGTGCTCCCACGAAAATATGGATCTTGGGCTGACACGGAGAGGACGAGCTAGCAGGTGCCTCCACCACCAACTCGGTAGAAGCAGGAGGGCAGGGAGAAGAGGCCGATTGTTGCACATTCGTCGCAGTACACGACTGAGGGACCGATGTCGTGGTAGGGATGAGAGGGAGATGTGGGCATTGCCCTGCATTGATGTGTAACCTCAAGCCGGACCATCGCGGAAAGGCCCTGTGACACAGTCGGCATGTCGGCATCCCG